AGGCGGTCCGGTTCTCTTCATGTCACACACACTCCCAGTTTGCTCGAACTTCTTCAATAGTTTAAGCAGGTACCGGGTGATGACGGGACGCATTCCTGCGTTCATTGCATTGTATTTTCTTGAAGCTAATGCGGCGTTTAAAGCGCATTCACCGTACAGCCGAATTATCAGCGCACGCTGAGTAACAGGAACGTTACGTGATCCCGACTGCATTGTCTGCTCGTGCTCCATTACCTCAATAACATTGACGATTTGTCTAACCTCGTCCTCAGCTGAGCTGCCATCACGTGCGCACATGCACGTTGCATTTTCGGTTGCCCAAGCCGACTTGGCCGCGTAGCCAGCGCGACACACATCGATCGTTCCAACGCCTACGGTTGGCCATGCTCTTCACTCAGCGCGTAGCTGACAGCCGGAAACATGTTGTGGCTTGTTCGCCGATCAACAGCCTCATGCCAGGGTGTCTTTAGAGGTTAGGCTTTTTCTCAACTGAGCCCTGCACTAAATCACTCGTCTGCCAAGAATTCCATACGTCCGCACCACTAAGGTGAGAGAGAAATTCGTGTCTCTGCACGCGCAGTAGCATGTTACGAATTTCGCTAAACACTGCATGGCTATTGGATGTTGGGGACAACAACCGTAAATGACCGGCGTTCACCATAAGGAGGCCACGGCAAGTAAATGAACGCTAATCGGCCTTCTTCCATCAGGCCAACCGTATGATCTAAAGTAACTGAAACGAGTATTCATAGTTTGTTTAACGTAAGCCTTCATGATACACCAAATACCTTCTATTGGGTTCAGTTGTGGAGAACACGGTGCGAATCGCAGCAGTCTTCCCGAGGTCTAAGGCTCCTTGTTATGATTGATTGGACGCCCCTGTTATGATTGCGTGATTACCTTAATAATATTGTCGCTGACACGGTTGGAGCACGCCTACGATAATCGCCTGTAACGCTGGCCAGTCGAACGGAGTTGCGCTTACCTGATGACGTTAGCTTAGCCGGTGAGATGGGAATTGAGCGAGCGTGTGAACCATCCTAGCCGCACGTGTTCTGTAGACGCTGAGCCCTCGGAACGGACGCACATGAGAGGGGGTTACGATAGGCGCGCACTAATGACATAGGCGCGAACGCTGGCCGGCTAACTACGCACACAAAATCACGTGACTCGACCGAGTCCCAGTTAAGACGAAGAGGAAACAAAGACAGGCAGTCCTCTGTAGGCACTTTTACGACCAACAAAGGACGAATCAGAGCCAATGCTATGGGTTATTAAGTTAGGGAAAACAGTCACCACGAAGAGGTGGTAGTTTGCAAATGACCATTGTCAAAAGGTGCGCAGTTTGGCCGCGTCTCGGAGTGGCTAAGCTCTGCTGCATTGTGGGGAGGAATTGGACCTCGCTTTTCACGGCCATTCTGCCGGACTTTCTGGCGTGTTTTTGCGGGGATTTTTGACGGGCCCGCAACACTTCTCTTGGAAAATACACTCCAGCTCTGTGTGACATGGTGCGTTATCACAAATCAAGACAGCTGTCGGCCAAATGCATACCATTGGTATTAGGCATTAGCCGCAACCATCACGCGCATCTATTTTTGTTATATCTGCCCCTTAGGAAGGAGTATTTCAGCACTCCATCTACAGTCATTGCTCTGGTAAGTTGCAGATTTTGTCCCCGACTGTTTGGAGGATCATTTTGAGGTACTGGTCATATGACCCGATCGCGACGCGCAATCACAATGTAGACCGCGATTCACATTGAAGTGAACCTTGGTCAATGCGATCAATGGGACCGTAGCCGAAGCAGACGGGCGGACAACAACCAGTTTCCATTTGCATTGTCCCCGAGTGTTCGCTACCGTACACTACACACGGCTGCCACGTGCCAAACGTCCCCTTGTGCGATTGCATAACAGCTTGAAGTTCTTCTCATCCATTTATCGTCATCTTTCAGCCTCCAAGTTTCAAGGACGGTCACGTTCGGAATGCGGCAATCATAGAGCGATCAGTTTGCTCTAAATTTCCTGCCTCCGTTGTTTTCCATAGATTGACTGACTCCCTTGAAAGACAGGTTCGCGAGGATAAAAGTCCAGTTCCGAGCTTTTTTGGTCACATCTTCACATAATGTCAGTTGCTGAAGCACCATGTTTTTTGGCGACTCAACGTAGTGTTCCTCGACGGTGGGTCGATGTGCCCTTTAGAACTATTTCTTCAGGAATGGTGTGCCTGAAAAATACATCAACATCACCAGAGCGCCTTACGCGCTTAATTCAGACAGATTCAGGGCTTATGACAAACTATCGCCACCCTTCATTATTACCATTAGTGTGAGACAAGGGGGCCCGCTGTTACTATCCCTTTTTAATTTCGCCATTGAAGAAGTCATGGAAACTGTTCACTGGACACGGCCTGCAGGGTGTAGAGTCGCTTCCAGGTAAGCGACTTCTTGTCTTTGAGTATGCCGACAATATTACCTTGGTCTGTGAAAGCTACCAAATTTTTCAAGCAACACTGCACAAATTAGCTCTATCTGCCAGTCTTTTCGAGCTATGCTTTGCACAGTCGAAATGCAAAATCCTTTTCAACAATTGGCAGGGATCCAACTCTTCGCTGATCCATGGTGGGCGTCATGTAGAAGCCATGCAGAAATTTAAGTATCTAGGCAACTATAGTAGCGTCCGTATAATGGAAGATGAGATCAGGAACTATATATCAAACTCTCGATGCGCTTTTACCATTCTCCGTCACTTGTGGCGCCGGCGCGACATCGCTATTGTCCTGACGAACGGAGTTTATAACGCAGCCGCCTATCCGACTATCCCGTACGGTTGCGAAACCTGGTCTATTAGAGCAGCCAACCTAAAGGGGCTAGTTACGTTCGACCAACGCCGTCTTCGCAGCTTAGCTCATGTTACTAACACGGTGGGAACACCTTGTTAATAAGGAGCATGTTTCGTATGATGTTTTTGACGCAGAATGAGCGAGCGAACCGCTCAGTACTATTCTATCTCACCCACCAGGCTGCAATGGCTGGGCCACGTGTTGCCCATGCGAACACACCGACTTCCGCGATGTGGGTTGTTTGTACGAGCGGAGTCTGGTTGGAAGAAGAGAATGGCAGGCCAAAGGATGTTTAAGACCCTCATTTAGAAGTTGGCGTCAGCTGGTGCATCCCGACTGCCGGGATGGACTCCGAAGGACGACGCACATGTCTGGTTGGATAAGCTTATTGATATGGCGAGGAGCCGACTTCAGTGGCGTTTGAGTTGCGAGTTTCTTTGTTCTTCACTTTCCCGCTCATCTTCTTTTTCCAACAACGATGTCACACTGCATGGATAATACATTACCTGTTTTTTAGTTTTTGTGTTCTGTAGTGTTTACTACCTTGCTTGCTCATATATCGTTTGTTTTGAAGCACAGCAGACAAGATGTTTGTCACCTTCAGCTGGCATATAATGATGACAATGGCCTCATTCGCACGTTTTCCTTTCTGTTATCCCTTGATTCATCGCTTTGATTGGTTCTTTTCTCTTGCCACTTGTCACTTTGCTATTTGTCACTGAGAGAGTGGAAACATCCATTTCATTTGAGAACGTAGTTCTTCCCCATTTACCTGTCGGTGACAAGGCCACTAATTTTTACGACTTAGTGGTAGCTTCCTGCGGTGTGGAATTGGAGTTGTCCTATGACTCACTTACCTACTGTCCAAATGGCTGCCTTTCTTCCTCCTTGTACATTCATTCTTTCTGGCGAATCCCGAGGTAAACGCGCACAATGCTTCATCTGTATTTCAATCGTTTCCATTCTCTAGTCGGCCTGTAGCTCCGCTAGTATCGACTTATCTTATCACCCTTTTCAATTCAATGAAGAGCTTTGTGCACCCAGAAGAGTGGATATTCAGCTGTTATACACGCGCCTTCAGCATTGTAAACAGAATAAACAAATAATTTAGTATGTGGCATAGACAGCAATATTGTTACAATACAACTTTGCTTGTGAGCTCCATAACAAATGTGGTCTGATTGCACAAAAGATGCGCCAAATATGGAATTACGGAGAAGTGTTAAGCCCTTGTACAGACATAAATGGATCTGTGCTTTGGTTTGCTTGAGGAAGCTAGTATACAGTCAGACAGTGCACCATAAGGTGAGTGAGTATTTTCGAAGCCAATTTTTTGTATGAACTGCACTGCGTAGATACAAGAATGTCAACAAAGGCCGTCTTTGGAATGTCACTACATCGATACACTTGTGTCAACGAATGTCACAGAGGAGCAATATGTCCAGTGGAGTGAAACAAAAATGGTGATGTATCCTGGTATTAAGTAGCAGGGGACAGAGTAGGAGCAGTGTGGAAAGAAAGCTTCTTCACTTTTGTGTAAGATCACGACTGAGGATGACACCTACATACTTCACAGACTCGCCATCTATGCGAAGTTTAAGGCAATCCATGAGAACTTGCTGATAACGACGGTCTTTGTGAAGGGGAGATAGAACGCCATTGCATTTTAATGCATTTAGCAATAAAAAGGGAGCTCTGGTCCACAATGCCAGATTGTCTAGCGTGGCTTGTATTTTGATTGATGAGGCTGCAGTCGAAAGCTGGACAGCTAAAACCATGTCACCTGCATATTTCATCGGAATCGCTTCATCAAGGGCGGGTAATGAGGCGACCTAGGTAGAAAATGTATGATGACAATAGGCTCCTTAAAGAATCCCGGTGGCTGTGGTGAATAGCGAGGAACTTTTACCCCCAAGTAGAGTAAACTGGGCACGTCCACTGAAATAGTCCTTCAGCAAGTGAACAGTAGAACCTTGAGTTCCGGCATCATGTAGATCTGTCAAAAGAACCTCACGGTTTGCACTACCGAGAGCATTACTCTAATCGAGAAAACATATTCTCACGGGTTTACTTTTTTATCTATTGACACCAACACTGAATGTACTTGATAGGCTAATGTGTCTTGAGTAGACCTGATGTTCAGTTTCCTTTGTTTTCAGATATGGCCCGACATGGATCACTGCGCCTAGATGCGGTACAAACATTCATTTTGGATGAAGCAGATGAGATGTTGAATCGCGGTTTGCGCGATCAACTCGTGGCTATATTTCAGCAACTACCAGCGACAGGCCAGTTGAATCAGCGAATTGAACGGCGCATGCAAGTAGTCATCGTTTCTGCCACTCTTCCACGTGAACATTTAGAGCTAATCCACCAATTCACTCAATCTCCTGTTCGTATTCTCGTTCCTAGGTAAGTCCGTTCGCCGTCGCTTAAGTTGTCGATATACGCTGAATAATTTGCAATACGGCCGATGAATTTTGGTGTGGTGGTCCAATAGCAGACTGTAGTAAATGTTCCACGTATGCGTTTGTCTTCCGCATTTTGAATATACACCTATTCGGAAGATCCTACTACCCGTGTTGCGCTAATTTGTTATTCCAATTGCACAACTATCCGATTGTTTACAGCGTGGGCTCATATGGTGCTTATCTTTCGATCACCGACTAATATCGACAAACTGTACGGATCCGAATGTTGTCGCACTGTTTTGTCACTCCGGCCGTTGTTGCCTCGATTAGCTCAGTCTCCGCACCGTCTTCTCCTTTAAGGACACCGTTGCTCATTTGTGCCACTCTCCTGTCACAATTATCATTTTTTTCCTACTGGGCACTTCCTTGTAGAACCGAGAAAATGCCATCTTATTTATTTGTCTTGGATTGTGACTAAAAGCGCAGGATTTTTGTGCTACACACACTTTTTCCATCGCTTCGAGTTATTACAGTATTTTGTTCTTTTTGACGTCGTTCCCTTTTCACCATATCCGAGTGACCAGTTAACTCGAACAACTATTCACCGGGTAATCTTTGCTCTCAATGATTTGAAAAATTCACCGAACGTTTGTATGACTACTTAGTTTATTTCTGCGGATCAAACTACCATTTCCGTGAGTTGCTGTTATCGTTCGAAAAGTCTATCCAGCACAGGGGTGGAATAATTTCATCTGCTTTCCTTTTTAATCGTTTTCTCTGGGTGCTTTTCACTTGTTGAAGAAATGTACACTGTTCGTTGCTAACGGGTCTAATTTTCAGATAGCCGCTTTCTCATTTCCGCTGAAATCTGGTATTTAGTCCAATTTCGGTTTACTCGTGACTTTTGTGTGTGTCAAGGTTCACCATGGGCCACACTGAACCAGCTAAAGGGTTGAAGCGATTTTCGATTTTACTGTTGTATTTTCTCTCACCTCTCATTACTGTCATCTCAATTGTGACAAATGTCACCCGGAACGACTCGACGGCTTGACGACAGATGTTCCGGTTGACATCCCGCGTTCCAAACGTAGTCCTGCCGTTGCTGCTTGATGAGTGCAGTTACGTACGAAATCTATCGTGTTTTCGAGTCGGAAACATTCAATATTCGCATCTTAGTTGGTTCCCCTGGAATTCAAACACATATGAATGGAAGTCGTGAATAGCGTCGCGTTTCTGCCTGTTAATAAGCTTAGAACCGACGGGGAATCCGTCACTTAGGCAGGTTGATAATAAAATTGGATTTTCGCATAGATTTTATTGTGGCTACATTTCGCTCTTGACGGTAGAGCTATTACCTCAAGAGCGAAATGCAGCCACAGTAAAATCCTATACGAAAAGCGAGGTGTACTGGAAACATTTTGAAATCACACGTGGGATGGGTAGTCGCCGGCAAGTGTAAGTGACCTTTAACCTCTCCCAACTCTATTTCTGGGGATATTCGGCGATTGTGCACACCTCGTCTCCTGTGCATGTTCATTAGTCCATTGGCGGTAAGTAAAATGATAATCTGGAATACGCCAAATTCGATTGGTTCCACCATATAATTATTTTGCAACCATTCTGAAGTTGAAAGCTTTTAACTCTTTTCAGTATTTTGCAAATTACGGCAAGACAACAATTGGTAGGCGCGAGCATTTAATATTGTCTCTTTGGTACGAATAACAATAATTAATACGAAACGATACCAAACGGTGGATGTGATCAAACGGCGAAATAAGTTTAGTATCAAAATGGATGAGCGCGATTCGGTCCCTGTGTCCACGGCAGCCAGAGGCTGACAAATAACTGTTTGTGCGCACACAGCATAGGTTGCACTCGGCTCACCGGGATAGCCTGAACGAACCGAGGAAATCGCGAATTGGAGTGACGCACCGCAATTTTTGTATGCAGCAGGACCCAGCGACCAATACTGAATACGCCGGCGGCTTACGCAACGACAGGGCTTGTGGAAGATAAGGCTGCTGGTCTATCTCACGTAGGATTCGCTTCGGTACATGTTCCCTCATCCGGGAAGACAATGCCCTATTGCTTCTTCTAGTGTAAGTGACTCCGTAGCGATATGTAATTTGGCATACACAAGGAGAGTGGGCAACGATTGGCAGGTCTTCCTTCGGCTGAGGTACCGGCAGATTGCTGATTCGGTTGATGACGACCACTTGAGCAGCATAGTAGGTTCCTTGTGCAGCAGCGATCAACCGCCTAAGAACACCCCTGAAAAGTAATTCCATATTGAATCCAACGAAAAATGCTTCAGTAGAAGCAACTCCATAGTCAAACTAACCTCTGCATCTTCTCCACCTCATTTCCATAATTCGTCTTAGCAGTCGGGAACAGTCCGATCAGGCCTCCCATGCAGTGTTCCAGGACGTGGTGGGTTTTCGCCTGGTAAGCGTTTTGTCTTTAAGAAGCCACATACGTCTGCTTTACAACACTGTGGCGTGGCAGATGTGACTCGCCACTAAATTAGGTCACTATCCTTTGCTTCACTCCGATGGAGCATTGTAATCCAATACCCTCTTGCTGAAATCATGGGGAGGATTGGGCCCCTGTTTGTTAGCCGAGCAAACGGAAGTTGTAGGAACTGAGCAATCAGTCACTGGCTCCCAATGGACGCGATTCCTTGAGTTCGCCACGTTGCCTTGAGGGTAAGCTATTTAGCCAAATGCTTGGTGTGGGATCGCCGGGGTCAACTCCCTACTTCTTCTTGGGCAACCACATAGTATCAAGCCTTCTGACGAAACACCGTGGACTATTCTTTCATGTGCTCGTCTGCCACTGTTTCTGCTTCCTACATTTACGCGGTTTCCTCGCACGCCAATCGTTTGTTTTCTAACGCTCCTTGTTATCCGTTACCTGATTCCCGTGTGCATGGATCTGCCTGCGATTCCAGTTGCACCGCGTACCGTGGAGTTCAGCCTTTGGCTCTCCTTCGAATCCGATCCTTCTTCCTTCTGGCGTGCTTCTGCGTACGGACACTTGCCGACTGGACAACAAGCCGGTCTAGCCCGCACCCTAGAATCCCTCGATGTTGACGTCTGCTGCCTTTTCGAAGCCCGATTTCAAGACTGCAGCACTGTGTTTACACTGACATCCCCCATTAGCCACAAAGCTACATACCACCTACGTCTTTCTGGTGACTCAGAATCAGCCTCATCAGGTTTGGCTGGTGTAGGTGCAGTACTAAGTGGCAAGACCGACACCGCACTGCTGGACTGTGGGCTTCGGCTTCGGGGTTCATGTAGGATCGACAGGGGTCGCAAGGAGAGAGAAATTTTTTGTGATCTCTGCGTACGCTCTAACTGACTACATTAACAGCTCGCCCAAGGACAACTTTTATCGGGAGCTTCATCAGCTCTTAAGTAACGTTAACAAACGGGATGCTTTGTCCTTGCTGGAGATCTCAATGTATAGGTTGACCGCCTGCTACCATGCGAAGGTCATCTTGGTGGTCACGACGCGCTCCATGATGATCGCTTAGATAACGGAGACTTCTCATGTTATGGGAATACAACCACCTGCTTTTCTCGGGCACCAACTTCAAGCGTACGAAGAAGCGTTCCGCAACTTGGCATTCTCCTTCGCCAACACTAGCGTGGTCTCAACTCGAACACCTCACAGTCAATTTCAGATGATGTAGCAGCGTGTGGGACTGCAAGTCTTTTTGGCCTGTTTTTATTGGCTCAGATCATGCGCTGGTCTGCGCGTAAATCTGCATGTGTTTTGTGGAGTCCCCAAAAAGGAAGCACCGGAAGATTGATGCGAACAGACTGGCTGATTCCTCGGTCCATGCGAGCTATTATTCTTCACTGGCATTCACACTCCGTTGCAATCTCAGAGTATGTGACGGGTGAAGCACAAACTCTGCTGTATAGTATAGCGTCAGCAATCGAGAAAAATAACAAGTAAACGGTAACACCGGTAAGGAGCATAGGTGCAGAATATGACAGCAAGTGGGATTGCGGAGGAATACTGTTGATGCCGAAGTGGTCAAGCTCAGTTATGGATGGGGGGCATACGCATCAAAACGTCGGACTGCTTGATCATATATATATATATATATATATATATATATATATATATATATATGGTGATTCAATTTGGATTCATTTTGTGACATCTGCTGCATGATGGGATAGTGGTACACACACTCAATATGAACCGTGGTTTACTTTGAAATGAACCTCGATAAATTCGACCGGTGAGGTCAAAACAGAAATGCGTAAATGTCAGGTGCTTTTCACTCCCTCTCGTCTCCCTTCCCTCTACTTCAGAGATGAGCTCAGTCTCGCTGGAATTCGTCAATTCTACATTGATGTCGGTTCGGAGGAGTGGAAGTTTGAAGCACTTGGGGACATTTTTGCGAGCATTTCTGTGTCACAAACGGTCGTGTTTGTGAACACTAGACGAAAAGTGGATTGGTTATCCCGCCAACTTCGTCGGGACAGCTTTACCGTAGAAGCTGTTCATGGCGAACTGGATCAAAGTATGAGAGAAACAGTGATGGAGCGTTTCCGTTCTGGCGCCAGGTAAATGTGCTTTTAGGTGTTGCCGCTTTTTTCCCTTTCTGGGTGCATTAAACATCTTTTTGACTTGAGTGAATTCAGTGGCCACATCGAGCCCCGCTTTATCTTTAACATCGCGACCGGTGCGATCCGTGGCTCTACATTTGTGATCGCCTGTTTTCTTAACGTCAGCCCAGCCTATATGTATTTCGAATCTCCACCACTTCCTCGTGGACGATCACCGAGCCATAAGAAAATGGCTTAAGCCGGCACTATGAAAGTGCGACTGCTAAGGTAACTGCACGTATAACACGTCGGTTTGGGGTTGCCGTAATTACTGCGTGGTATGTTATGTACTTCATTCACGAATCAACTTTGAATTTAAAATAACTTTGAAGACCTCCTAAGGTTGCATCGTGTGTTGTTTATAGTTTCTATCACTCATTTGAAAGATTTTTTCATTAATCGAGCCCTTATTTGTGTGGAGTGCTGTATGTGTATGCCATTTTCTCCACGGATCACCGGTGTGGGCGACTTGCCAGCATCATAACTCACTTGTAACTACTGGTGCCGATACGGTATTTCGACGCATTGATTGTGCCTTCATTTACGTCAGCTTTTACTGGTCATTTAAGAGGAAATCAAAATGCATCCCCTTCGGAATTAATCCATGTCACCCGCCACACGAATGTGTCCCAAGAGGCGAATTTGTATACCACATATAACCCATTGAACCGTAGGACGCCTTGCTTTATCCACAAGTCCAAAGCTAAGCCAGTAGGTGTTCAGGCAGTCCGATGTTTTGATGTGTATGCCCCCCATCCATAACTGAGCTTGACCACTTCGGCATCAACAGTCTTGCTCCGCAATCCCACTTGCTGTCATATTCTGCACCTATGCTCCTTACCGGTGTTATCGTTTACTTGTTATTTCTCGATTGCTGACGCTATACTATACAGTAGAGTTTGTGCTTCACCCGTCACATACTCTGAGATCCTCGTGCATACATTCTCAAAACGATATGAGGGGGCTGTCCTTCGAGATTATCACCTTGTATGGGATGTGTCGAGGCTTTCCTTTTTATGAATTAATACGTAATTGCGTATTTCTCGGCGAAACTTAACACAAGTCGTGTTCATTAGTTCGACCAATTTTATGCGAAACTCTGAGTGATACTACAGCGCATACTGTAAAACAGCTATTTGAAGCTGAGTGCACCTATCACCGTAAACGTTCTTACTCGTTTGACTAGGTAAAACTAAAGGAACAAATTGACCGTATTGTACTCTTGTTTGGAGGGTAGTAGTTGTTTTAGCTTCGATAGTGTATCTTCGTAAGGCATTCAAGTTTCAGCATCGCTACATTTATGAATTCATTCTGAGCTTTTACTAAAATTCCTTTTTTATTATGCACCCGATTAATCAGAGTAGATGCGTGTTTACCACAACTCCCCTGTGTATGGTTTTATGACCAATAACTTCTTGCTGTCATTAAATATTAGTGGAAATCAATGGCGTGACGCTACATGCAGTTTGACGAGAGTTGTGAACATTGTTCAGGAGCCACAATAAAAGCAAGCACATATGCGTTTTGGGCGTACCGTTGTGTTGCCCTTATTTGTTGTGTTTTTACATCAGGTTTCCATCAGTGTTTGGATAACTCTGCTGTGGGCTTAGCCATAAAACTTTGAACATAAATACACGGGAAGCTAAACTGGATGGAATGAAGTCGCAGATGTGGTTTGTAATCTGTGGAAGCAAATAAGCTCCAAAGGCATAGCATGTCGATTCGAAGAATATATAAGCAGTGAGTAGGAATTTGAGAGTGGCCCAATGTGTAACTGTCCATTCATAGACGTATATGTTGCTTGTCCTTCGAGCAGCGCTGCCACGGCTCAAACCGCTTACGAGTGTGGGACGGCGCTCCTTAGACTTCGGCGTCAAATGCAAACAGTGACGCTTGCGTAAGCGCCCAGAAACATTGTCATACACGATGACCGAGGGATATTGCTCCGTGACTGTGGCTGCATTTCTTCGGAGACTGCTTAAAGTGAGTGCTTTGGCATTCACTTATCGTGTCTTAACACATATCCACCAGTTTTCATTCCTTGTTTTGTAAAAGTTGTTCTGGTATTGGTGGGCCATTGGATTTTTTACGGATCTCTCACTCCCGAGTCCGTACTAGGTCAGCAGCAAACTGCCTTTTCATGATCACATTTCCTCAGGTCTTTTTCACCAATGACATCCATAACGATTTAGCCACACATGACTCCAATCAATATTTGTTTTTTACTTCTTGCACTCGTGTCATGAACAGCCACTAGCGTACAGGCCGTGTATACCAGTTGCTGACTACGTCACTTTAGACTAAGCACTCGGGCACGCGCTCATCGATTCGGCTCGGAAGTTTTCTAGTTGCGTGGGCGCCTACCATAGGCCTCCGTACTCTTCCCCTGGACATCCACCGCTGCATCCCGTTAAGATCCAGTAGCCGTGTCTTGATGATCTACCTGTTCCCTTGATTCATCCGGTCTGATTTCCCTTACTCGCACAATTGTAGTTGTATTGCCATAGAGTTGCCGGCATGCGCCCCAACTTGCCTGACGCTTTCGATGGAATAACTCTTCTATTCCTTTTACACCCTTGTTCGTAGTTCTTCTTATCTTTGAGGCTACTGATTGGGTATCAAGAAGCATCACCGTTTCACAATTGTATACCGTACCCTTAGTCCGTATGTGGCATCATCGCAAGCGTACATTTTTAATCATCAAACTTTCGCACAGTCCTCTGGCGTGGTTTGATATTCTCCACCCACAGCACTGCAATTCATCTCTCTGTGAGCTGCTTCTCACCATTCATATGTTCTCTTTCTCCATTCAGTCGCGTCTTGGTGAGCAGTGATGTGTGGGCTCGTGGTATCGATGTTCAGAATGTGGGTCTTGTCATCAACTATGATTTGCCATCAACACCCACCGACTATCTGCATCGTATTGGGCGATCCGGCCGTTTCGGGCGTCGTGGGCTGGCTGTGAGTCTTGTCACTGGGGCCGAAGATCAGAGCAAGCTGGACTCGATCGCACGCTACTATCGCATTGCTATAGAACCGGCGCCAGCTGCTCTGGACAAACTGATGCTCGACTTGATTCCGACAGTGCACGGATCCCGAGTGGTTGCTGAATCGGACAGTGGTGTTCCTACTGCCCCCATTGACAAAATGATTCTTGCCTGTAAAAAGAAAAAGAAAAGAAAGCATAAAAAGAAAAAGAAAACTTTATAAGTATACTGCTTTTTCTCTTTTGGAATGCTTTATCGCGCGCGCAACTTCGGACACTTGCTCTTTCGCTTTTTGCGTTGTCAAGCGAGTAGTAGCTAGTTTGATTCGGTCTCACCCACAGTCCTTCGAAGCATGCATGTGCTGACTCGGGTGTTTGATGCCATTCATCTCTAGCAACTAAGCAACCCTGTCTGCAAATTAGTTTTAGTGCATCTGCATTGCTACGCAGCATTCCGCCTGCGACGACCATTCACAACGGATAGAATTTCGTCCGTCTCCCTCATACTGTGTACTGAATGCCGTATTGTGGGAGCAAGTAAAAATTTAAGTCAGTACAGTGCGATCGAAATACCAACGAAAACATTAAAAATGAAACCATTTATGCCCTTTCAAGACTTCGATTGTTTTTTAAGTTCTTACCTTATATCGTAAAAGTGTATACGCCACAGTAAATTAGGACTCATGAAAGTGAGATATCATTGCCAGTGGCAGTCGTTCTCGGAATCTAATATTGGAGAAACGTACATCCAATACACTTTAGAATGGCTATGTTGAGTTTATTTCCACTAAATGCTCTGACAAACCGCTTCTAACATCGACCACTCGCCGTCTAAACCACAGGTGAAGAGGAACTAGTTTAACCTATGGTACCACATGCTTGTGTTGGCGTCCCCATCTGCTGCACAACGTTCGCATGTGGAACAAAGGAAAGCCGCCTACATCGCTGGGAAAAAGGCCGGTATCATCTTGGAAAATACACCATTTTTATTGATTTGCCACTTACACTTATGCAATGTAATACATGAAATTTCTTTCACGGTTTTTTTATTCTTGCCACACCCGAATTGTGGCATCTCAGTCGCTGTTTTATCTTACTCATTAATCCCTTGCTGGACGGTATTACCCGAAAACTGCATTCACTTGTGATGTCGCTTAACATGACGTAGCGCTGGTATATTTTTTGATAACTATCTTTTATTTGTGGTAGTAGCTCAGAAATGGACCGTTTACATAATCCTATCTTAACACTTGTTTGGCCAGCCTTTGTTTATCTTAACTGCTTTGCACCTCGCAGGCATTGTATGCGTCGGCCGTCGCGCAGGTTATCATGCGTCACTTTATCCACTGCATATGACATGGCGGATAAGTGAAAACATGCTACTACTGGCGCCTCTCTTCTTCTTTTTTTACCTGTTTCTCTTACTCCTCTCCCAGCCCCCATTACTAACCTTCCTTCCATAATTCCCAGCTTACTTGACAGCAACCGTACTGTCACACAATCTGCAGCCACCTTCCCGCAACATCCATTGGACGCCTATCGGCGACGGTCCCATATAAAGCCACGCTGTCCCGTTTCCCTGGCGACATCGTTCGCACTCTATACAGGTGGATCAATGGGTTGCGCTGGCACCTACTTTGACGTGTGTTGTGTATCCGAAACTAGTATTAATAATCCTCATGGGGTTCTTGAACTAACTGCACCCAGTTTGTCCTCTCGTTATTGATTGCACGCATTCGAAAACGCTGATACGACAGTCACTGGTTAAGCTGGACTGGGCATCTTTCTCAACTCCAAGGCTGAATCATCGCTAGTTGATTGGATTCCCGTGAGCAGCCGTTGGTGTACAGCCACTTTGACAGCTTCAACTAAACTTGATTCACTAAGTAATACAAGCCGCTATTTGTTTGTGGTTTCCGCCTATGCCCTCATCGACTGCAGTTCTGATGCTGTCAAGGCACCATCTACCAAGTACTGAACACGCCGATTCGCAATGTTACCAATTCAGATATCGTTATTGTTGCTAAAGATATGAATGCGCAAGTATCTCGTCTGGGCTCTTCAAAAGCTCAGCTAGGCGGTAACTGTGGAGTTAACTCCAACTGTAGCACAACGACGAACGTTTGTTACAACTGTTTGCGGAACACTGGCTGTTTAGTAGTAGCACCGCTTTCAGACACAGTGGGCGCCAAAGTGTCAGTTAGTGTCCACCTGTAGGTGGCCAGCGATCGGCCCAATTAGCTCACGTTGCCATAAGTTACAAGTGGCGCGGTTCCATCCTGGACTGTCGTTCGCTCCGAAACACCTGCGAGGATTCTGGTCATGTCTTGGTACGCTGTCGTTTTCCCACGAACTTTACCGGGAAGCGTACCAAGGCTCTCCCTCTAATAGCAACTGAAAAATTATCTCAGCCCTCGTTCAGTCAAGCCTGCCAGAATGTACTGCATATCGAACTTTCACTCTGTTGTCCTAATGGCACAGCTTCAATTGAGTAGCATCTCGGCCGTTATGCACGACGCAGGACCGTCTGCTTGTAGTACTGTCAATCGTCACTTCACCAATCACTGGATATCCGATCGGTCGGTGAACCTGTTGGAATCCAGAAGTAAACTCACAGCTGGCTCCGAGCACAATGTAACCAGACAGACCATTAGACACAAACTAAAGCGCCGCCTACGTGCTGACAAAAAGGCCTGGTGGACCAGTCGAGCTCAAGAAATGGAGGAGGCGGGAGCAATAGGCAGTTATCGCAAACTCATCCAGCTGATCCGCACCACTGGTCCTTGGAAACCATACGTCAGTTAGACAATCAGAGACAGTGCGGGTGTCATGATTCACAATAAGGGGCTCCGTATGGTTCACTGGGTGGAGCACTTTCAATATCAGTTCAGTTGGCCCACTGCTTCCGGACATCTTCCTACTCAGGTGATGAGTTATGGGCGGTTAGTTCCGTCGGAGGCTGAAGTCCGAAACGCGAACACGGCTCTCAACCGTTTTCATACTCCTGACCCTGATTCCCTCCCACGTGCACTGTTTAAGGATGGAGGTGAGGTCCACTGCAAAGCACTAACCTCCTTGTTCGAACAGGTCTGAAACGCAAAGACCATCCCGGCTAACTAAAGTGAATCGATTTTAGTGGCAATATACAAGAAAAGCAGTTGTGTTGACTGTGCTAACCACAAGGGTAGTAGACTAACGCCGTTGATGACAAAATTACTAGCCTCAATTCTTGTTCGTTGCTTCACTGCGGAATGGATATCCGGGATTAGAGAAGTGCAGGTAGATTTCCGCCCAGGACAAGGTTGTATGAACCACATGTTCACTGCGGCAGGTGCTAGAGCAGCGCGACACATACGGAAGACCGGACAATAGCTGTGTTCCTCGACTTTAAAACTGCGTCCGATATTTTTTTGTTGGAGCCTCTTGTGTTGCAAAGTGTTCCCACGAAATAAGAACATTTTGCCTACCCTATACTCGAACACGACAGGTCGCGTCAAGGTCTGCGGTGATTTATCGGATCTCCTGATAACGAGTGACGTCCCTCAGGGTTGCCAAATTTCCCCATTTTTGTTCAACTTCCTCGTGGAGTCTTCCCTTGCAGGTCTTGTATGCTGCTTGATGAAAGGCTAGTTACTCTTGATGATGCAGACAAATCGTCTTGCTGTTTAATGATGTCGGGGCGGCCGAGTAATTTCAGTCCAGTTGATCAACTATGATCCGAGTACTGAAATGCGGTGGATCCAGTTGCCAAGACTCATATCATAAGAACAACAATAAATAACACCGGTGGGATAGTGGGGTTTGGTGAAAATAGGATATAGAGAAAATACATCGATCAGAATGGAATGAAAATTAACTACGGGATGAAAGAAGCGGAATGCGGGAACGCCACTTACTGCGTCATGTTTGACAAGGTCTCCAACCATCGGTGTGAACCGTCTTGAGGCCGCCATCCAGGAAGACGACACTCACCAGTCTACCCAAGCCTCTCAGTCAATTTCTTCAAGCTTCTATGCCATGTCATGGACTGGCAACCTCGAGGTTTCGCCCAACTCGGTGCAACCACGGCGTATAATGCATGCCGAGAATGCCGATCGATGGGCATGCCGAGGACATGACCTAGCCAACGCAAGCGACTAAGATATATCAAACACACGAGAGGGACACCGGAAGGCTTCTTGCCAAAAACCAACTGGCCGACCTCCGCATTACTCACCTGGTCTTCCCACCAGACGTGAGCACTACCTCGCAAGCACTGGTGCTTGAACACGGCCAAGCGTTTACTGTCTTCATTGCGCACTGGTCATGTCTCTGAACCATACAGTAACACTGGTCTTATCGCAGCGTTATACACCCTGCCTTTCATTGACAAGCTGATATCCCGCCGTCTCCACAGATGGTTAGGCCTTTGGAACGCCACACGGGCCTTGCTGATACACGAAGTAACCTTTTCAGTGATATGACCATCAGAGGGTGACACAGCTACTAAGGTAATTGAACCGATCCACCACTTCCAGTGGCTGTTCGGAAGTAGCTAAAACCGGAGGTGTGCCGACGCATTCCTGCAGTAACACTTTGCACTTTGAAGGTACAAAGTACACGCCGAAGCGCGCAGCGGTACGCACCAGTATATACAGTCGTGTTTGCATTGACAATGCATCTGACCCAAGTAGAACCATGTCCTTCTCATACTCCCCGTTTGTCAGTCGATCGCCTGGCAGAACTTACACTCCTGAGTAGTCCATGACCATTTCGATCAAAAAGTTGAAGATGAAGAAAGATATAGGACAATCCTGAGGTACCCAACTTCTCGTGGGGAACTCATGAGAGTTTCCCGTAGACCCTTACTGAGGCCTCGGGAGTCAGGGTGAGAGAGAATGAAAAGGGGTTTAGCATGCATGCCTTTCATGGATAGGCAGTTCCACAAGCTGACGCGGTCAACAGAGTCAAATGCGGTTTTCAAGTCAATGATAACCGCCATAATCCGTCGTCTGTATTTGTGTCTGCTCTAAAACTTGGCGAAGAGTAAATATGTGGTCAATACAACCACGGTCTGGGCTGAAGGCAGTCTGGCTTTCAGTGATTTGGCCTGCACGGAGACCAGTAAGTCGTCGAAGAATCATATCCGTGAGTTTTGATGCATTGGAAATAAGGCTCATGCCTCGGTGGTTTCGCACAAAGTACGCTGACTCCTCTTGAAGATTGACACAACAGTTGATAGTCG